TTTTGCAGAAGCAGGCTGACACATCTTTGGCTGAGTGACTGGTGGGTTTGAACTACCCAGACCTTTGGTTAGCAACCAAGTGCTTTAACCATTGTATCATCAGGCTCTCTTAGAAGCCTAAAACCACAAACAACAAACTCACTGTCCATTAAGCAGATTCCAACTCATAGCAATCATATAGGACAGAATAGAACTGTCCCTGTGTGTTTACACCTCACCAAAGTAGAAACCCTCTGATTTGCTATAGTATCTACCAGGCTTATTTTATATACAATCCTAGATTAAAGGAACCCTCATGGTGTAATGAGTTATAATCTTGGAGCACTCCCCCGGGGCAATTCTACTAGTTGGAATCGACTTGATGGCAATGAGTTTTGAGTTTGATCCTATTTGATAGTTAGATATATACATTTTATTTAAGAACTTTATAGACTTCTTGGGGATAGAATGAAATAAGTTTTAACAACGCAAAAAAATTACTCATCCATCAAAATTAATGCTATTGTTGGAGTCATCCAGCTAAGGAAAGCATTTGAAATTGGGGAAAAACTCAAATTAATTTCTAATTTCATAAAAAAGCTAGCTTTAATAAGAGAGGAAATAACCGAAAATTTCTGTGCTCATTATCTATGAAAGCTTATACCAGAATACCTTTTAAAATACCCAAACTATTTTTGAAGATCTACAAGTTTTCAAAATTCTGGATAATAGAATTTGCTGAGTATTTCACAATAGCCACAGTCAGTAATAGTCGTAAATTAATGTACTAGAGCAAGTATTATTTGCTTAACTCTTTCAAAAGTCTGGCAGGTTTATTCTGATATATAGTATCAAATAATCCTTAAAAATGGAACCCTTAGGTATTCACACAGCATCAACTACTAGCCTACCATCAGGGGTAGAAAATCCTAGATACCAGTAGCTGAAATATAACAGAAACCAGTCAAGCAACTGTGTACAACCTGGATCAAGAAATCTGGGGATTAATTAACACAAAGATCTTTTTTCCTATATTTTCTTTTTAAGAATAAAGACCCAGTGGTCCCTCTGGCTAGATAAAGGTATAAGTAAAATAACATAAGGGTAATACAAAATAACATATAGACACTGAAGGTCTTATGCAGATTAAATTCTACACACCATTAGAAAAAGAAAAGTCAAGGAATGGACCCAAGGAAAGAGGAGCGTAAGTGGATGTTCAATATCAGAGTCAGTCACAAGGAACTCAGCATCCTCATAAACTCTGGAATGTCTCAGGTACTAAATAACCAAGGATTATTCTTAGTTGGACATAAGAATTGTGACAAACAAGAAATCTGGTCTAAGAGGATTAGCCTAAGAGTAAATTCCCTAGAGGTTATTTTTAGTCTCAGTACCATACAACTGTTTATTTCAATCACTGGCATATTTAATATACTACCACAATAAAATACACCAATGCACCCCATATACCATGCCCTAGACCACTTGGCATTATAATAAAAAATTTAAAGTGTTTCCACTTGCCTGCCTTCCTCTTGTATCTTATGATGATGAAGTAGGAGACAATGTAGAGAACGGCAAAAAGAAGAAAACATATCTGAAACAAAGTAAGTTTAACAGATTATCATTTTTGCATATCAATTTTTTAAATAATAGAGTAGATGGGGGGGAGAATAAAGTGGCACAAGTATACAATTTTGGTAGTGGGAAAATGGCATGGGGACAGGGGTCATATCTCACCTCCTGTAGCTTCCCCATTGCCAGGAGGCAGAGGTCAGACATGCTTTCCACCCTCCGTCCTTTTTTAGCTAGTCTGACACCAATCCTTCCCCCCCACAGCACTCTACTTCTATGCTGGGTTCCATCATTCACTGCAATGGCCACACAGAACTCAATGCAAAAACTCACAATTATGAGGGTTTATTAGGGATATTAACAGTTTACCACAAGCCAGGATCAGTAATCAAAAAAGGCCCAGTCAGTCATGGTTCCCAACTGTTCCTCTTCTCAGCCAACAGCCAAGTCTCTCTCTGGTTCTCAGCATCTCTACCATATGGTCCCTCTATGGGCCTGGAACGCCACTCACTGCTCTGAGTCAGTCTGATAATCTCTACACTGCTCTTCTATCTCATGGTCTTCTTTCCTCAGTCTCAGGTCTTGGCTTGGCTCCGTTGCTCTAATCCAATGGTTTCCATGCCACAGCCTTTGGTGCCTCTGGTCTAAGCTTCTACCACTTTAGACAGAGATCTTGAACTAGTGGCATTTCTTCCAATGGTGCTGAGATTGCTCTCGGTTCTTCCAAGATGGACATCCTTAAACCCAAGACAGTGGCAACTGAAACAGACTAATTCCCTGTATTAGTATTGTGGGATATAAAAAGACTTTTCCCAGCTTTGTCTTCCCCAAAGATATGCCAAACATTAGAGGCTGTTTGCCAGCACAAGGTGGGACTTCAGATGCTTAGAGCTATTCTCCCTGTAGGCATTCAGCCATCCAGAGCAATCAGACACTATTGTTTATTCCCACCTTGCACTTCCTGTCTGCTCTGGCTGCAGTGTGGCCAACAGTGAGCTGTGCTGCGGCGTCTACTGCTAAGGTCCAGAGTTACGGTAGCTTCAGGGGGTCTTATTTTCGGGGAGGTCTTATTTTCGGGGGATGCCTTACATTTCAGTGAGAGTCAAAACTGTAAATAGGTCTATTTTGGGTGGATGTCTTACTTTCGGGGAAACAGAGTAGATCTGCCCATCTTGTCATGTGTATAGCCTTAATCTCTCCTTTTCCTATAACGTGTGCACCCCTAGATCATCCCCCTCTCATTACTGCATTACCTATAGTACAACCCCTTCCTGTGACATATGTCTTTACCTGTAATTAGGGGGCTTGCATGCCCTTAAAAGATATATTAGCCTTGGTTAGTAATAAATCTCACTCGCTCCTGCTATTCCCACCTTCCACATCCTCACATGGACCACCGAGCAGGGCCGAGGTGAGCATACTACCATGAAATGTGTCTGACTCCTTTATTTCACTCTCTATTCTCTCTCTTATTCTCTATGACTTTACTATAATCTTCACATATTATTGCTATACAATTGCGCCTGCCAGGCCTGTGATGGTTTTTTAGGGGCTGGCTCCCCTGACAAGTGTTACACACACACACATCCTATTTGCGTAATCCCACCCAATCATTAGGTGAGAGTGACAAAGACTTAAAAGAGCCATATTAAGAAATTTTAATGAATCACAGGTATTCATAGGAACAGACAAATTTAAACGATTAACCAATAAAATTTTTAGACATTTGCTTATATGGAGTTGTGATAAAATCTTAATTCAGTGAAGTTGGGATCACTGTATGATGAATTAGTCAATCAATTATCTCACTTTAATATTACTATAGAAAAAAATTCCCCAGTAGAGCTTTTTCAAAATTTGATCGAATATATTTTTGGCTTCTGTCTTTCTTTCCTTCCTTTCTCCCTTCCAAACTCCCTTCCTTCCTTTCTTTTTGAATACAATAGTAAATCAGGTAGATGACTCTGCTGGTCTTGACTAGGCTTACGCTTGAATTTGGGGCTCAGCTGGCTGTCAGCTGATCTAGGGGCGACTAGACTCTGTTCCACATGCTGCTGATCCTCTAGTAGACTCATTGGTCCATGGTCAATAGTGATAGCAGAGTGACAGCAGATATTCTCATGTTTCTTTTCATGCTTCTAGTCATGTATGCTAATGTGCCATTAAGGAAAACAAGTCCACCTGTCTGAACTCAAATTTAAAGGATTTAAAAAAAATAGCAAAACTTTTATTGTGAATTAGGTGAAGGTTAAGGAGGAGCAGACTATCAGTTTTAAATTCAATAATTTATACACATTTTGTTTCAGCTCATCCATTTTAGCCCCTCAATGTACCATAGTTTATCCCACTTCCATCCTATGCTTTCAGTTTCCATTCCCCGCCTTCTTTCCTAACCCTTTCCTTCTCATGCCTGTCCAACCTGCGTATCTACCCAGATCACCCACTTATTGCAGGATTGTGTATATAAGTATGTGCTCCTGTTGTCTTTAACTCTGGAAATCTCCCAGTATCTTCCCCTGCCTCCCATCATTTTTTCCTAACACCCCTTGACCAAATGTTTTTAATCTGAAAATGTAAAGACTGATATCATCATATACAATTCTGAAAAACCATATCAAGAGAAGGTTTAAATATAGCTTAAAGCTTCAATAGCATTTAAAAAGCTGTGATGTCACCAAAATTTGACAGATTAAAGAAACAGATTCTATTATATAAAACTTAAAACATGCTAGAGGTATCACAAATCAATGTATGGGGAAGATAATTACTCAATGAATATACCACATATAAAAGTACATAGCAGTTGGTTAAGAGACATTTTTTTAAATTAAATTCCACTTAATCCAGTCAGACAGATATCTAAGGTATGGCAGACTGGCAGAAAAAGTATGGTTAAAGGAACACGGGATTTCATTATAGTGAGAAACTGAGTATGTTAGAAGTAACGTTTCCTTAGCCTGGTGGACTGTATTTAACATAGTTATAATAATGACTCTAAATGAGCAGTGATGATAATGTTTAGAAGTCTAGGGAACATCATATGTATGGATGTCTAAAGTGTTGACAAGTCATATGACTGAAGGAATGGACAATGGACCTAGGTGTTTGTCATGCCACGTAAAATGAAACCATCAACAAATTACAAACTCAAGTGGAAAGGAATACTATGAGTCCTTTTCAAATTTTCCCAATAAACATGGAAAACTAAGAGGCAATACTGGCAGGAACCATAAAGAGCAAAGCATTAAGAGTACCCAAAACTACCTCCTGTTGGCAGCCTAATGCTCTCTTAGGGACACTGGGAAAGATAAGAATGTTACCACAACAAGAGGAAAGTAAAAGGACATAGAGGAAAGAACTAGGAGCCAAAGGGCTTTTATAGAGGTCTAAATACAGGTATGTACATATGTAAATATATTCATATATAACAAAAGGGCAGTAAATCTTTGTACATATATTTATATGTTAAATATTAAGGTAGCAGATGGGCATTGGCCCTCTACTCAACTACTCCCTCAGTGCAAGAACACTTTGTTCTAATAACATGACATTCTGTGAAGCTCATCTTCCCAACACGATCGCTGAAAACAAAATGGGTGCATAGCAAAGGTGAAGAAAGCTGATGGTGCCCAGCTATCAAAAGATATAGCATTTGGGGTCTTAAAGACTTGAAGATAAACAAGCAGCCATCTAGCTGAGAAGCAACAAAGTCCACATGGAAGAAGCACACCAGGCTGTGTGATCATGAGGTGACAATGGGATCAGGTATCAGGCATCAAAGACACAGAACAAGAAATCATATCATTGTGAATGAGAGGGAGTGTGGAGTGGAGACCCAAAGCCCATCTGTAGACAATTGGACATCCCCCTACAGAAGGGTCACAAGGAAGAGACGAGCCAGTCAGGGTGCAGTATAGCACCAATGAAACATACAATTTTCCTCTAGTTTTTTTAATGCTGCCTTCCCACCCGACTATCATGATCCCAATTCTACCTTACAAATTCGACTAGACCAAAGCATGTACACTGGTACAGATAAGAGCTGGAAACACAGGGAATCCAGGACAGATGAACCCCCTCAGGACCAATAATAAGAGTAGCAATACCAGGAGGGTAAGGGAATGGTGGGGGTAGAAAGGGGGAATGGAATCAATGATCTACATATAACCCCCTCCCTGGGGGACGGACAACAGAAAAGTGGGTGAAGGGAGACATCAGTCAGTGTAAGATACCAAAAAAATAACAACAATTTATAAATTATCAAGGGTTCATGGGCGGAGTTGGGGAGGAAGAGTGAGGAGCTGATACCAAGGGCTCAAGGGCTCAAGAAAGTGTTTTGAAAATGATGATGGTAACAAATGTACAAATGTGCTTGACACAATGGATGGATGGATGGGTTGTGATAAGAACTATTATGAGCCCCCAATAAAATGATTTTTTTAAAAGAAGAAGACTGTTACCACCACTACCACGCAAATGAAATTTTGTTGAAGAAATGTAAATGGAGTTTTTTAAGGAGCAATCAGGATAAGGGGGAAATTGTTTACAATGGAATGAAAGTCTGAGTAGGGCTACAGAACCAATAGAAAGAAGAGTAACTTAGCAAAATACAGTTAATTATAAGACTAATTACCAAGAAAATTAATATTTACAACAAAGGCTGAGACTGATTAGAATCCATTCATTCAACAATTATATATACCAAATACTATCCTAGAATTGAAGTCCCTTAGTAACACAGTTACATGCCCAGCTACTAACCAAAAGGTTAGTGGTCTGTATCCACCTAGAGGAGCCTAGGAAGAATGAGCTGGTTTCCTGCTTCTCAAAGATCACAGCCATTGAAAAATCCTATGAAGTGCAATTCTACTCTGAAACACAGGGCATCACCAGAAGGCAAAATTAACTTGATACCAACTGGTTTGAGTTTATTCAACTCCTGGGGATAATAGTGCACTGCATAGCTCCTACCCACTTGGAGTTTATAGGTCAGTAAAAGCAAAAGACAACAAGTAAGCAATA